CCGCGCTCGTGATTTACGAACAGTCTGTGTGCCAGCATCGCCCGACGCAATGATTAAAATCCGCGGCTCCATATATTCCAATTAAAAACGTTCTCTATGGATTGGTGCTAAATGTAGGTATTGCAAAGCGTCAGCACTTGCATATGCCGAGAACGTGCTGAGGTCGCTAAATTTTATTGGATTACCGTATCGAAATTTATATAATTAATTAAAGTCAAACGTAACATGTAACTATACATTATCTTATATTATCAATCTTTTAATTTAATTTGCTATTTTGAATTATTTAAAACAATGGAATTATATCTTCTATATATATAAAAATAAGTCGGGTTTTCCTTCCTGATGAAATAACTCCAGAACGCACAAACCGATTTCGACAATTTTGCATTCGTTGGTAAGGTCTCGAGCTCCGCAAGGTTTATAGCTAAGAAAATTAGTGGTGCATGACAATAGTGAGAATTATCAGAATTATGCTTGGTTAAGTCAACGAACAATTCTTGCCGCAAAGTATAATGATGTACACGCACTGAATTTCACCATTCAATCAAAAATTTCTGGCGATTTGGTTTGACTTCAAACGATTGCAATTTCCAGTTCGCCTTGCGTTCGCAATAACAAGTCGCAAGGCCAATCGCTTAGTGTTTGCGGGATAAATTACAAATAGATTATTTAGAAAATCATTGTTTTTCACATGGGCAGTTATACGTTGCCTGTTCACGAGTTGGAAAACCATCCGCTTTGTTTTGTGTTAACGTCAGACCAAAAAACAAAAAATGTGGTATACCAAAGATCACTTCCATGAAACGGATAATTTGCGGATTCACTTTCATTTACTTAGAGAAGTTCAACTGAAAAACACTTTATTTTTGTAATCGAAATAAATTCATTACTGTTGTGCAATAAAATCAAATTTTTCCTTTTCAAATATAAAACAAACAAAAAATTTCTTCATCTTTCTCACGAAACCATCTTGTGGCGAAACGGAGTTCGTCGGGTTTGCTAGCATAGTATATAAATTGCATCATAGGGACATTGCAAAATATTCATCACAAAAGTTATTTGCAAGTGATGGATATAAAAATAGTTGGTAGTATAACGACCCAACTTCGCGAAAATTTTAGAGAGCACGATGTTCGATTGAACTTTATTGCTACATTGTCTTACTGCAACATTTCTCTGTGACAAACTTCGTAACATCTTTTTATTTTGTATAATCTATTGTTTGCAAAAAATCAAGTTGTTTCATCAGCATCTTTATGGTATTGATTTAATTCTATTCTTATGATACATAGTGAGACTCATTAGAAGCAATTATTAGTAATCCCATTTATAGTTTGTTATATTATATTACCTCTTGGTAGAAAAACCCAAATTCAATTACATTCCCAAGCATACCATATATTGCATAAATAACGTAACATTTAAATATCTGTCACTTGGGTGTATAAATTTGAATTTTAAGTATGTGTACGCGTAGAGTTAGCGGCGCAAACGTTGGTTTGCATGTTGAATTTGAGAAGCACGAGCCAACTTGTACAATGCAATAGTTTCGGATAATTGTATTAAGAGCTTCCCCGTATGTCCGGCATTGCCGTTACTCGTGTTTGAGTTATACATACGGACACACTTAATATTAATCCCGGACCTCATGGTCCAGCGGAGAGTTTTGAATATGAAATTGGCCCGAACGGTAGCCGCAACAGCTAGATGGTCTTGTTCGAGATTTAGAGGAATTTTAATTGAGACTATTTCAAATCCTGTTGCTGTGGATTCAAATCAGTTTAATTATATTAATAAAACTCAAATCTTGGAAGTTTTAAATACATATACGTTTACTAGGGTTTATACAAAAACCGACATTTCAGGAAACCGGTTTTCGAATTTTAATTTTACTAAAAAACCGGTTTTAACCGGTTTTCGAATTTTATATAGAAAATAAATTTTTACTCGGATATTCTATAATTTATCCGCTAGTGTAATTTAGAGCAGTATT